GTCAACGTTATCTTTAATGCGTAATACATGAAATACTAAGGTTTTTTTCTCTTTTGGTTCAAGTATTTTCTTTTATTTAACGTGGGTTTTATCATCATAATGAATAAATGACACTTACACAAGGAAAAGTGGTTTATGTATATTCGTGTGATTATCTTTTTATTTGAAAATTATCTGAAAATCATATGAAAATTATATAAATATATTTTCATGTGAATATCATGTGAATAAAAGTTTACATGATATTCACACAAATCTTTTTTTTAACTTTTATGTGAAGTTTTCTTTGCATGATATTTATGGGATATGCTTTTCATGTAAAATTCATATGAAATGTATGTCAAAATCACATGAAGTTTTCACATAAATTTCACATGTCTTGTTTTTGTGTCTTTTTCATGCGAAGAATTCACATGAAATTTATGTGAGGCACTTTTGCCTGTGATATGGAATAAAAGTTTTATTCTTGTTATGGCAAAACTAGCTTCACTGGAAGTGGTTGCTTGGAAATGAAGAAGTTTTCCTTAAAACATATTCCCCCTTAAAATTCGGAATTACTTATTATAACTTGGTACTTTTTTTGCATGCCAGTTTATTTTTTAAATACTTCTTGTCAATGTTAGCGTAAAATCGCTAAATTTGCGTCTCGCTAAAATTTCCGCTTATACGTATAATAAATCATTAAAAAGTTTGGCATGAAAGAGGATCATGTCGGAAATATGACGTCATTAAATTGGCATATTTCTAAGTTTAATGCAGAAAAACCTCAGAATGACTCATTTCTGTGCTTATTTTCCTTTAGTAAATAGTGTTTGCCACCGTCAACTGCTTTAATTTTTGGTTATAATATGTAAACTGCCTTCGAAAATCACATATCTCAAATTTTTTGTGGGCGATGCATGCAGAGTGTGTTTTCTGAAAGAAAATTCTAGTGAAATTGATGTATTCTGCAAGTTTTCAAGAAAATGCGGGAAAATGCACAAGTTACTGACGTCAAAATTAGCATTTGGGAGATTTGTGTATTTGTACTGCATGGAATTCATATAATTCTAAAAGAATGAAATTTATTTCTTATCACTATCATATTTTAGAGAAAAAAAGGCAGGGCTAAATTTATATTGAAATTGTTCTTTGTTCAAATTTATGACCCCTCCTTTCTTCTCTGTAATCAATCACTTATTTTATGCGTAAATAATAAAGTGCAAAAATAAGTCTATTTCTTTAAATGTGAAGTAAGGGAATTTAAGGCCAGGAACATATTTTATTTTTTTTTTTCATAAACAAGCACAGTTTTTGGATGCTCACTCTTCCATGGAACCCACATGTAATACCACGTCTGATGTTTTGTTGGTATCCGTGTTTGATAGGTACCAACAAAGGAATACTTTTCGTTATGATTATATTTCATTGTTTGACTGAGTCCTTGAACTACGTACATGAGCATAAAATCTGACTAATATATTTTATATATTAAACTAAAAGGTATGTTTTTATAATGTTTCAATGTTTAATTGTAAATAAATTTATGACTTTACAGAAATGCTTTTAAAAAAGGAACTCCTAATACTGTGAAATCATTTATTTTCGCGGGGTTTGATTTTCAAGGTTTGGAGAAACCCTTGAATTCATGGCCACCTTGAAATGTCAAATTTTATTTTCATTTATTTCCAATTTCCTTCTCAGCATTTCTATCGCAATTCAAATAAAGTGTTTACTGTAAAAGTCAATTCAATATGCACACTTTTTCCTTCTTGAACAGAAAAAGTTATTCTCGTCCGGCTGAATATGTCTGTTTTTGTAAGGACATAAAACACAATCATGTAAAAACACATGGACATGGAAAATTATGATAGTACAAATTTAAAGCTCAAGATCTTTTTCAAATTCATTTTGCAACTCAGTTTTGTGATATAATAAAAAAATGTCTTGAGATATGTATTCGAGATATTAAGATTAAATACAAGAGATTAAAGTAATTGTTGAATGCTCTTTCAAACATATCACCTCTATTTCGAGAACCTTTACTTCAAAATCTGACAGTTTATCAGGGTTAGAAATAAATTAGGGCATTGCCTTAATTTGTAATCTTTATTCTTGTTCACTGCCATTTCGCAAACTTAAGACGTAAAAAAGTATACTGACAGGGCCCTTTGGATGATAGTAAAGCACACTCAGAAATGAAAGTCATAGGTCTTTCGGGTGAAACCTTAAAAACTGAGATCCAGTTTTCAAAGTAGGCTTTAAAGAATCATTACTACTTAGCGACCATGACCCCGAGTACATGTACAAGTCTTAATTTGAAACCGTTCAATGGTTGTGATGTTTTTAGCTGGTCTTATTGCTCAAAGAGCAATTACCGAATTATGTCAGCTTGTATAAGGAAGTCCAGCCCATACTATCAACCGCTTTTGAGATAATACAAACGATAAATAAATCAAGGAATATAGAAAGAAGTTTTATCTATACAAATAAACATCAGCAGTAATGACTTTGAAAACTTCAGTCCTAAGTCAAACAACAGTTCCTTGGCGTACGGTTTTCTGATGTTCAGTGTAACTATCGTAGCGAAGAAAAGCAGGATGGGGAACCAGACTAGCCTGTTTGTTTACATTTGGCGGTGCCAGGTGAACTCTGATCCTGATAAGGTCGGAAAATGGTATTAGTACCCATATACTACTTGCCTTAACATTTATATTGATATTTTAATATATAATTTTCTTAATTTTTATTTTCAAATAAGATAATTGTATGTCACTGAAGCCCTTATTGTCTAAGTATCATTATTATGTTTTGCCTTGTTTGTGTAACATTGTTCGTCCAGTGTCTGAAATTCTTATTTATCCATTTATACAATATGAATGCATGATTCATGAAAAAATTCTACTCTATAAATGAGCCCGACTCTCTGTACTCCTGAGTACTTTGAAATTTTTTTTTTTTTTTTTTTTTTTTTTTTTTTTTTTTTTTTGTCAGCATTAAGAAATCTTGTGCATTCCATTAGTCGTTAACAAAATTTTGAGAAAAAAACAACAATTTATTAAAATTCTATTTTCTTTATTAAAAGAAAAACTGTAAATTATACTTTATTTCAAAGTATTAATTTTACTATGTTTGTAAAAGATTAACAAATTATGCAATGCAAACTGGATTTTTGAAGGAAAACATTAAAAATACACATTTAACAAATATGTCAAACATGAGATATAGATTAAAAAGGAGTCAAATGACTACACAAAGCATGCAAGCGATGTTACATCTATAATAATATCAAACATATACAAATCATATGATAACCGCATAATAAAAATGATTTAATATTAAAGATGTTGTTGAAACGATATAAAGATAACGGACAATGTATTTAATCTGGAGGAAACGCTGATGACACAGAATAATTGAATTATTCATATTTTCTTTAAGCATGCAAAACTGTATGTTTATATTTAATAATACATATAAATCTATGTATGATTTACACCAATAAAATATGGAAAAAATGCAGAAGTGCATTTGCGTCTAACACAAATTATTAATTAATTTTATTATAAACAAATTTTTGGCACATGTTATAATTTATAAAGCTTTTTCGGTTTCTCCTGACAACTCTGGATTTGAACTTACATGTAATTCCAATAAGATTATAAGACTGTTGAATTTAAACTTTTTTTAGAGAAAAACCTTACATGTATAAATATTTCATTATTATTGAAATATGGAAAAATATTTTCGTGAAATCTTATTCAATGACGTTTATGACGTAGCAAATTAAGCAAGTGTGTAAAGTAAGTTGCATTAAATCAGAAAAAATACTAGTTATCAATCTTTTGACAATACAGGTAAACTTCGTTATCTCGACATCGACGGGACAGTCGAAAGATGTCGAGATATCCGAGGTGTCGAGATATCAGAGTTGAGTCTCGACGTCCTTAATTTTACTGCATAGTAAAACCATAGACCTAAACTGAACAGACATGTAACTACAGGTACCTACGTCTTCAATTAGACTGTAACTCGTTTGTTTCAGCTAATCTTCTACATTTATTAGAAAATCTAAGAAGTTATTCACAAAGGTTATTAATGAAATGCTTTCTTTTTTATCGAAATCTTCTCATTTCACTAGAAACCGTTTTCCATCCAGCATTCGATCCGCTTGCCATTACCTCTGTCAGAAAAGGATACGAAATGCGCTTTATAAACACCAAACAGGAACAGTACAAAATCGACTTTTGAGATACGGAAAAAATTAATGCGTATATTTTCAAAATTATTTCATTTTACTTCTTTTTTATCTAATCATTCATCATTAATTTTCATTTTCATTTAACAAACTTAACGTTACATATGCATCCATATTACGGCTGATGCAATAATCGTGTATGTCTTAAGTTTGATTGATTCTGACATAATGAATGCATTTTTACCAAAATTTTTAAGTTAAATTGAATTCAATGTGTATTCTGTTCATTGTTATTCAGTTACCCTTTTTTTAAATAAAATGTTTAAGTTTTGTTAGATTTTGACTCAAATAAACGGTTGTACATCTACGCAGAATTGAGAAGATTTACCTATGATAATTACCCAAGCTGAACATTAAACAATTAACGTATTAGACACGTCGAGGGGGCTTGGGGTTCCTCTACAAACACATTTCTACGGATTCCGAAGCAATATGTAGTCAAAACATGGGTGTTAAAGGTGTGAATTTCTGACGACGTCGAGATACACGGAGTCGTCTGTGCGTGACGAGCGACCAGCTGACAACAATTAGGTTAAGTAGAGCAGAAAATTGCACCGATGTCGACATATACCAGGTAAATTTTGCTCTTGGGACTGTGAAATACGTCGAGATAAGCGGGGTAGTCGACATTACCGAGGTCGACATATCAGAGTTTTTGCAAATCATTTATATAGTAAATAATGTCGGGACCGCGGACAGACGTCGACATATCCCAGGTTGTCGACATATCCGATGTCGAGATACCGAAGTTTACCTGTATTTACAAAAATAAATGGAAAAAATCACCTTCTTCATTGTCATTGTTGCAGACCTTTAAATCCATGTTCCTAACACGTTCGCACAACTCTTGGAGTATTTACTTCCAAGGTTAAATATATGTTTGAAATGTATGCTTATTTGAATGATTAAAGCGTGGTATCTTACAATGTGGTAAATAAAATTGTGACAGATATTCACAATTAGCTAACGGAATGAACATCCAAAGATTTTGAACTGATTGTGACGTCAGATGATTTCTCCGGAAGTCTCACATAATTATTCTCCTTGTTGAGCCATTTAACATGTAGTGTCTCGTAATCGTTGTCAATTTTCTTACATGGGACTGGTTTCTCATAGATGGCGGATTTATTGCAATATCTTTTGAAATGTTGCCTGAAAAAGAAAAAAAATACAAAACATAAATATCTTTTAAATATAAAACGGCATTTTTTACATTTACTAAATAATTTTTTTTAACATCTGCTTTTTTATAAACCTTCAGAACATTTCAAGCCTTTTTTTCAACCCCAACCAATATAAATGACCAATATTATTGGAGTTTTCAAAAGCATTGGTGATTTAAAATACGAAGAGACCCTCCTGTATATTTTTTTATCAAAGCAAATATTAAAGTAATACGCATCTGCTTCTTTAACACACCAGATGGAAATTTATTGCAGAAGCGAAATTATTTTTTTTTCATCTGTATCCTAGTTATTTTATTATGTTTTATCTTGCAAACTTTAAGTTCAATTCTGGTCGAGGTTTCTTGAGTATCATACATGTAATCATAAAACAATTTTTTTCTTGTTTAATTTTCTTGTTTTGAATTAAAGAACTATATAATTTAAATGCACCTGAACTGCAATTATGGCCTTTGAACTACTGTCAACCATGTACTTGTCTTTTATGGTATTTGCTTGAAATAAAATTTATTTGCAACTTTGTATAAGTCGTCCACTTTATCACAGTTTTGACGCGAAATTTCCGCTGATTTGACGGTTTTCCTTTTATTCCAAAAGTCCTTACATATTACTGGGGAAATTAATGCATTTCAGTTTGGAAAAAAATTGATGTAATATGATAAAAACTTTGCAATGTATTATTAAGGAAAAAGAAAAATGAACATGTATTTACTAAGTCAAAATAAAAATATTGATTAGATATTGTCAAGGAGTACAGAAGCCCATTCAGGACCTATAAATATATTTTTTAAATTTGATATAACGAATTGTCGAATTTGTTATTACGAATTTAATTCATTGTAACAATTTCTTTGAATTTGTTATCACGATTTTTCGATAGGTCCTAAATGGGCCTCCGTAAAGGAGTGATGTTATGTATTTTACTTTTACTTTGATGATTCAGCATCTGCATTGTATTTATGAAATTTGATATCTCTCCCCCTACCGTCCCACAGTATCAATGACGATATTGAAAGTTATATGTTTAGTGTAGAGATAAAAGCTTGAGAATTTCCTGTCCTGAGAATCTGTGGAAATTTATGTCAACCATTCTTTCCTCTGATGTTGCATTTGAGTTCCGTATTCTTTCATTGCTTATCTTCATAAATGTGGGCCGGGTTTAGGGGAAAGAGATGAGATGTGGTGTGTTTCTCAGAGTTGAGTTTTAGTTTTAGAGTTTTAGCGATTGGATGTAACTTTTTGGATTTCCATGAATAAAGATTGAAACGAAACATGTAGTGACGATTGATACATTCAAGGTATAATTCCCATCGTCACAATATTAATTAGAGAGGACATACCTCCGATATAGAAACAATAACACCACTAGACCTCCAATGGTTGCCAGTGTAATTAATAAGACTACAGCAATGATCAGTGTATTTTCTGTTAACCACTTTTCTGAAAGAAAGAAATCAATAATCATGCAGAAACACAAAATAACGTAAATAGATTTTATTTTGAACTCTGGAAACTTGCGTAAATATTTTAGTTATTTTATTTATCTTAATCAAAAGTAAAACATTTAATTGAAGTGTGCGTTAAAAATACTAACTGTGGGGCAAAGGATTTTTCTTTATATACTCGTCATCATCAGCAAAACAGGGTTCATGCTTTCCTGGGAAAAAATCGTCTTTTATGAGCAAATAAAAATTTTTAAAAAAGAAAGAAAAGTTTTAACTGTTCAAATTTTAACTTTCATGGCACCGTGAAATCGTTATTTTTATGACTTTTTATTATTTTAGTGTGTTTAATAAATACCGAAGCAGTATCGATCCTCGCATAAATTCAAGGGTTTCAAGCAGTAGGCCATAAACCGTCCACAGTTCTTCACAAGTATTTTGTTTTTCTCCAGGCAACAGTTTTCATGAAAACCCGCCGATAGTCCTGATGTACAAATGTCTCTTTGTACTATCCCGTCCTCAGTGCTCGGATGCGAACCTTTAATTTAAATCATAAAGAAAATGGTATATGTGGTTAATTGCATACAAAAAAATTACCTGGTGGCTAAAAAATTGCACTAACGACTATTTTTCTAAGCTGGGACACAGTTGTCACCTAACTTTTAAAGGTCACTTAAAGTAGAGGCCGGTATCTGAAATTTGTTCCTTTATTTTTTAACATTAAACATTATACAATCATTGAAACAAATGAATACTCAACCTCCACTTGTTGTCTTAATTTTCATGCAGTGTACTTCCACATCAAAATGATCCATTCAACGATCTAAAAATCTTTTAATTTGTCCATGTTGTTTTTAATTTGTCCATTCTAAATTTATTGTTTTTGATACTGAAAAATAACTTATTTTCATGGGGTCAAATTTTCGAGGTTTGAAAAACGAAATCTTTGATTGTGTGGATTAGATTTCAAAGTGAAAGAAGGGTTGAGTATTTGCTTATGGTATTTTACATATCGAGGTTGTCAAGAATTCAAATGTCTCTGCAAACCTTGAAAACAACGAAAATTAAACCCCCACAAAACTAGTGATTTCACAGTAGGCTTTGACATATATACCCTGCATCCAGACGGGGCGGATAGCACCACAGGAAAGGACTCCCGGACATTTATTTAACAGTACTTGTCCGTGGTCGTCTGCTTTATACCAGCCAGGATATAGATCCCGATCACATGATTGCATGTAGTGTGTGTATTTACAGTTTTCACTCCTGTTTTTGGTGTTTGGAATCCTTGGGATTTCAGGCAACATGCACGGATCTAAAATTAAAAAAAATTATATATAATTAATCGCTGGGAGCGTGAACGTGATCAACTTCAAGAAGGATATATGTTCATAACCCCAACAGCATAATATTAAATATTGAAACTATAATTTAACTTTAAACTATGAGATATTTTGTTGTCTTTATTGTTAGCCATCGAATTATTACCTGGCTGATATATTTCAATAATTTAAACAAGAGGCCCATGGGCCACATCGCTCACCTGAGCACTAAGGGTAAGAAAAAGTAGAAAATGGCTTTTTATTGTAAAGTTTAAATCCAAAAGTAGTCCCATGACCAATCGTGGATTTGCTATTTCTTTGAAAATGATTGTTAAAGAATTTTCCTATATATACATGTATCTTTAAAAACTTTGGTCGGCCATTTTGGCCCCGCCCTACCCCTGGGGGTTATGATTTGACCAAATTTGAATGTACACTACTTGAGCATGCTTCCATAAAAATATGATGAATTATGACTTTGTCATTCTTGAGAAGAAGATGTTTATAGAATTTCCCTATATATTTCTTTGTAAAAGTTTGGTCGGCCATTTTGGCCCCGCCCTACCCCCGGGGGTCATGATTTGAACAAACTTGAATCTTCACTACCTGAGCATGCTTCCATATAAATAATTATGATGAATTATGGCTTTGTCATTCTTGAGAAGAAGATTTTTAAAGAATTTTCCTATATATTTCTATGTAAAAGTTTAGTCGGCCATTTTGGCCCCGCCCTACCCCCGGGGGGTCATGATTTGAACATACTTGAATCTACACTATCTGAACATGCTTCCATATAAATATGATGAATTATGGCTTTGTCATTCTTGAGAAGAAGATTTTTAAAGAATTTTCCTATATATTTCTATGTAAAAGTTTGGTTGGCCGTTTTGGCCCCGCCCTACCCCGGGGGTCATGATTTGAACAAACTTGAATATACAATACCTGAACATGCTTCCATATAAATATGATGAATTATGGCTTTGTCATTCTTGAGAAGAAGATTTTTAAAGAATTTTCCTATATATTTCTATGTAAAAGTTTAGTCGGCCATTTTGGCCCCGCCCTACCCCTGGGGGGTCATGATTTGAACATACTTGAATCTACACTATCTGAACATGCTTCCATATAAATATGATGAATTATGGCTTTGTCATTCTTGAGAAGAAGATTTTTAAAGAATTTTCCTATATATTTCTATGTAAAAGTTTGGTTGGCCGTTTTGGCCCCGCCCTACCCCGGGGGTCATGATTTGAACAAACTTGAATCTACAATACCTGAACATGCTTCCATATAAATATGATGAATTATGGCTTTGTCATTCTTGAGAAGAAGATTTTTAAAGAATTTTCCTATATTTCTATGTAAAAGTTTGGTCGGCCATTTTGGCCCCGCCCTACCCCCGGGGGGTCATGATTTGAACATACTTGAATCTACACTATCTGAACATGCTTCCATATAGATATGATGAATTATGGCTTTGTCATTCTTGAGAAGAAGATTTTTAAAGAATTTTCCTATATATTTCTATGTAAAAGTTTGGTTGGCCGTTTTGGCCCCGCCCTACCCCCGGGGGTCATGATTTGAACAAACTTGAATCTACAATACCTGAACATGCTTCCATATAAATATGATGAATTATGGCTTTGTCATTCTTGAGAAGAAGATTTTTAAAGAATTTTCCTATATTTCTATGTAAAAGTCTGGTCGGCCATTTTGGCCCCGCCCTACCCCCGGGGGGTCATGATTTGAACATACTTGAATCTACACTATCTGAACATGCTTCCATATAAATATGATGAATTATGGCTTTGTCATTCTTGAAAAGATTTTTAAAGAATTTTCCTATATATTTCCATGTAAAAGTTTGGTCGGCCATTTTGGCCCCACCCTACCCCCGGGGGTCATGATTTGAACAAACTTGAATCTACAATACCTGAGCATGCTTCCATATAAATATGATGAATTATGGCCTTGTCATTCTTGAGAAGAAGATTTTTAAAGAATTTTCCTATATATTTCTATGTAAAAGTTTGGTCGGCCATTTTGGCCCCGCCCTACCCCTGGGGGTCATGATTTGAACAAACTTGAATTTACACTACCTGAGGATGTTTCCCCATAAGTTTCATCTTTCCTGGCACAGTGGTTCTTGAGAAGAAGATTTTTAAAATATGCCTCTAGATTTTCATTAATTCCCAATTATCTCCCCTTGAATAAGGGCGTGGCCCTTCATTTGAACAAACTTGAATCCCCTTCACCCAAGAATACTTTGTGGCAAGTTTGGTTGAAATTGGCCCAGCGGTTCTTGAGAAGAAGTCAAAAATGTGAAAAGTTTACAGACAGACAGACAGACAGACGGACAGACGGACGCCGGACAAAATGTGATCAGAAAAGCTCACTTGAGCTTTCGGCTCAGGTGAGCTAAAAAATGGTAGGTTATTCCTTTTAGATACTAAAGAACACAACTGATGAGGCATAAACTATTTTTGTCTTTCAAAATCTCAAGCCAAGAAGAACATTTGGTGCATCACAAGACCTTCGTAACACAATCTTTCAAGAATTGGATTCTTCGTGGTTTTCCTGGTTGTGGGTCTATCCGTTGGTTTGGGTGGCTGCCTCGTTGTGGATGTTTTCCAGACAGCTGGAGTAGTGTCAGGTTTAGGAGAACTTGTTGTCTCTACACAGGAAGCGTCTTTTTCACCTTGATTTGGAAATGTAAACGTAAAGTAGAAAATTACGTACTTAAAATTCTTAGAAGGATTTTTCACGATTTAAACATATAATAAGAGAAAATGAGTTATCAGACAGCTTCAGTAATGTAATAAAGTCTAAATTGGTATTAAATAAACAAATTAGCTAAACGTAATTTAAATGACAAAATATAATGAACAAACCCTAACAAGAAATACGATATAGTTAACGATAGTGTCAAAATTATCGCTATAGTAAATCAGAGTTTTCATAATTAGCGTTTTAGTAAATCAAAGTTCAAAGTTATCACTATAGTAAATCAAAATATCAAAGTAATCACTATAGTTAAGCAAATTAACTATAGTTAACTATAGGATTTTTTGTTAGGGAGATACTGATTGCTAGAGTTAGTAGTAATAAATCAGAAATTTTAAAAAAAATTGGTTACCGAAGCAATATCTCTCTGAGCAGGCATCCAGTGCCGGTAGACAGTAGGCGTTGAATGACCCACAATGTTTTATTCTGATAGTGACGTCCTTAACACATGGACCCTCAAAACCAACTTTACATACTTTTCTGTGTACAATTTCGTTTTCCACTGTTGGGAGGCTTCCTACAGAAAAATATTTAATTTTAAGGACAGATGATACAAACAAAAAAAGGATGCCTGGATTGGTATATTTTTTCTGGTCTTATTTCATTGAAAATGATGTAAAAATAAATTTCTAGAATATAAAGAAATTGTAAACCTGCTATGATGTTCAAAATTCTACCTCTCTGAAACCATCCTTATTAATCTATACAAATATTTCTCTCTTCAAATCCCATTTTTTAAGAATTTGAATAAAAATTTAAAAACTACGCGGTTAAACTTATTCATTTTACACATTAAAACATGACGCAAGTTGTTATTTTCATTTTTTTTTTTGACAAAAATTTGTTTGTATCATCTGTCCTTAGGATGAAACTTAAATTTTTCCTTAGCTTCAATTACCGGGCACAATTTAAAATTAGTTATAAGTATTTTTATACAGAAAATTAAAACAAACAAATTACATATGTACTGTCGTTTTTATTAATTATAAACATCATTATAAAGGTAAAAAATCGAGTATGGTGACCTTTGTCGTCTCATCGCCAAATATTTTATTCTGACATATATAATTATATCCACGATTTCTAAATTTTCAATATAGGATTAAACGTTCTTTTTGAAAAATTTATCGATGTGTAAACTCATGACATTTTACTCACAAACTAAATAAAAGTGCGAAGCACTTTTATGTTAAGTTTGTGAGTAAAATGTCAAGAGTTTACACATCGATAAATTTTTCAAAAAGAACGTTTAATTCTTATAATTCCAATATCGAATTTTTAATAATATTTAAATTATTTCTCTTTGAGGCCTCCATACAATCCGTTATTTCTGGACGGCGTAGGAATACATTTTACCGTAAAGGAACGTAATCAAGATGATTTTCGATAGAGTTCAACTTAAATTGTCCAAACAATCGATAAATAAACTTATAACAACTAATCGAATGTTGTTTAAGTCAACAAATATCGTAATTACGAGTTTACTTCAGAATAGTTCGTCTTTGACCATGACCATGTTGACATAAACAACAACTCTCATAGCGAAAGTTGCAGACCGACGACGCCTTCAATTTGCACTTGTTTATTCAAATATTGAGGAACAATATAGAAAGTAAATATGAATTTGATGCTAATAGGGCAAGAGTTTGAGGTACGTTTCTTTTCCCTGTCAAAACGATACAGACTGAGCTTATTTTCTACGTATGAACGTTGAGACAGCGATTTTTAAAATTCACACTCGTGATCGGACAGTGACATAAACATTTTCACGGCGTCCATCAGTTAGGCAGTCTAGTATGTTGCCAGTTTTGTTTAAGCCCTAATTAAATTTAAAGTTTCTTGTATTCATTATTTAGCCAGAACAGACCCAGAAATAACTGCTTTCATTGTTTATACGATAACCTAGTAGTGTCATCAAGAAAGTAGTTCTGATTGAAAGAATTTATCGATGTGTAAAAATTTTCTGGAACGTGTTCTCGTCCAATCAAAACACAGGAAATCAATAGATAAAATGAAGATTGGAATTATATTAAAATGAAATTCAAACATATCCAAAGTCATTCCACAATTAAGTGAAGTACATAATTGAGGGTATTGATTAACAAACGTTTATTTAAATCCCATTCAAAGCATAGGCTAACGATCAAATATGGTTTACAATTGCAATAGAGTAACGTAAGAAGGGTTACCGTTAAGCCACGAAGGATACACAGCTCCACAACTAAGTAAATTGGGAGGATGATTCAACATGTCTTCCTCAAACCTGTGCCATCCTGGAGTTATGTAGCGATCACAATAATCGTAACTCTTGTACAGGCAGTTCTCTGCCCTAAAATCTGGCTCAAATGCCGGCCGTATATTTGCTGCCTCACAGGGGTCTAAATTTAAAAAAATGTTATTGTATTCATATTTCCCCGTATGTACAGATAGTGTATAATATTTATGTAGATTTTATGACAATGTTTTTTTTTTTTCGAGCCATCCCGTTAACTCTATTAATTGTATGCTAGAGTTAAAGTTCACATACATGGCATGGACATATGTATGTGGGCAATGCAATGTGTTTGTCAATACAATCTGTCATTCATTTAATAGAGTGATGACTACATCTTTAAAACAAATTTATAGTCCATTGCTTCACACTAAACTGTCATAAGATTTTCTGTCGACTCGTTTAATTAAAAAGCACACAGTAGGTGTGCCCGGTGGACAAGGGAATGTCTACTCCTGTCCCTGGTGCAACCTTATCACATCAACAATATATGCGAACTCCTCCGTGGCAATTTATCCCATGAACAATATATACCCATTCCTCCGTGGTACCTTATCCCATCAAAAATATAGGCTCAATCCTCCGTGGCACCTGATATCATCAATAATATATGCTCACTTCTGATCTAACCTCTGATATTTTGGAAGTCCGTGTTTGCTCTGCTCCTATTTTGTATTGTTTTCTGGACTTTTGATCTCGAATACAGTTTGTTATCTTCATATGTTTTATGCAGAGCTTCGTGTTACTTCTATTTTCATAATATTAGATTAAGAATAAATACCGTTCGAAACAAGATATGTCAGAGTGTTCGAATCACAATATAAATATGAAAGAGAGGTTGATCAGCTGAATATAAAAGAATTCAAAAATGCAAGAAAATCAGATTAAGTCTTATCAGAAAACATGTTTAAAACATAGAAGTAATATATATTTCCATAAAAGGACACCCAGGTAATCACTTACATACATTATTTGTTATGCAGCACTCATCTTACATTCAGGCAATATAATAGTACATCAATAACAAAAATAATCTTTTTTTTTAATTCAAGATTTTACTCACCATCAGTCATATCGCAGAACCATAAACTTGAAGCATCTGAATAAAAGAAATAATAAACCATTAAAAGTAATGCGTGTCATGTTACGAATAATTGTGAAACTTCCGAGTCTATATAACTGTAAAGGCTTTTAAAAATATTATTTCATATAGTCTTTCAATACTTTTATTCAATAATTTTAGTGTATTATTTCTAATATATAATATAAGATTAAAACTTTATGAGCACTTCAATCTATAAAAACATCTCGAAAAGCATTTTACCTGTCTGCTGAATTTAAGATTTAAAAAAGTATGTAAATTGATATTTATCAATTTAAAATGAATGTCTCAAGATACATAAAAATCCCACCTGAAATCCAATTTGAATATATTGTTAACCAACTTTTATTCGCATGCGAGAAATTTTCGTGAAGTTCGCGAGAACCTCGTAATCGCGAATATTTCTCGCCGCGAAACGGTACTTTAAGCATCTCTTTCTTTTTAAAATAGATTGAAAAATATATCTGATCGCGAAAATTAATCTTCTTAAACTAGTTTACCCCTAGTTAATCGCGAAATAAAGTCGTCGTGAATAAAAGTTGGTTTACAGTATTGTGGTATAGTATAGAAGAAAACAATTTGCTCAAACGTAGATATGCCATCTTTCTGTTCCTCGTAGAGTTATCTTTCCTTTAAGTTATCATATTATATTGGGGGAAATCTTTATATTTTTACAATTGTTAATTCCTTGCCCAGGTTTCCTGTTGCGAGATTTATTTTACACAATTAAATGCAATATGTAATGGGTGTAGTCGTTTGTTAAGATTTTTATATATTTCCTTCCAGCATATAAAAGCTCGTTTAAATTGCCTTACACTTCATGTGCACTTTAAAACTACCAGCATATATTATCTTGTGAATATGAAACCAGGCACGCTAAGCTAGACGTAAACATACACAATCAATTTGCAACTTTGTTTTTATTTTCACGTCCTTTGAGATTTTAGAGAAAATAAAAATATAAAACAGTAAATGTTTCAGAATTTTGAATTTTGTATAAGAATACTGGTGATAATTTTTGTCAAATTTTGTGCAAACCATTCACGTTGTTTTAAATCTATGTCATCATAAAAGAAAAGTATCAATTATTACCTGCCCAAGTAATCACGGACACTATATAAACAAGTGTAAATCTCATCATAGAGGAAAGAAACGCCATCTGTAAGAGAAATGAGATAAAAAGATTCCCAATATAAACACTGTGACGTAATTTCCAGTCCACCCAAATACACACAGAAAACAGTGTTTATTTCTTATGACAAAAGTCTTGATTTAAACAAATTATAATTCCATAGATACAATTAAAAAGAAAATGTATTACCTTTGATAGGAAGACTCGGAACTTTGTTGTTACATTTGTAATGTCCTCCAAGCTTCAACCAGGAAGAAAAGAAACTGACGATGTTCTATAAATATACACAATTCTGCGTAAACAAACCGGTCTATTGCATTTCAAAACCTCGAACGAGGTTTTAATAATTCACCGACATTTTTTTTTATCACATTGCAGGTATTCGAGAATCCTCGTTCCGCTAGAGAGGGTATGATGCTTTATATCCTGATCGATAATTTAATCTCAAATCAATAAAGCATTGATGCAGGTGCACAGGCTTAAATAAATCAATACATTCAGAAATGAGGTCTTTGTGCAAATGCATTTTTAAACCTCAGCATCAGCTTGCTCTTCTGATGACGTTTTAAGATTATCTTATTTTAAAAGCTATAATTTTTCTTACATCGTATAACAACGAAATAGAAAAAAAAATTAATCGACTTTTCTTTTTTAAAACCAGTTATTTATTCAGCTTTGCATTGTTTAAATGAGCTTTAAAAACCTGACGATTAAGTTCAGAAAAGTAATTTTTCTGCAATGCTGTTAACAAATATATCACATCCTTAACAATTCAAGCATTTTTACGGAAGTGTATTACTGCCAGTTAAAACATAAGTATAACATCATCTTTTGTTCTTTTAATACTTTCTATTTCTTGCAAGACCCAAAACATTCCAATAAGTTACCTGAAACTGTCTAAGTTAAAAAAAATATTGGATGGCTACAGGTAACTCACTGGATTAAGAAAACACAACACAAATAAACACAAATAGATATTTTTTAGACAATGAATCTAACATGTTTCACAATCTAATTAAATAATCTATTTCAAACTAAAACTTTGTAACTATTCCAATAAATGATGAAACGTACATTTCAATTCACAATGAACATCAAAACTTAATTTAAAGGAAATATTTCTGAATTTTATTGGAATGAAATTTGCAACAACAAAACACGAGGGGATATAAGTTCTCCTCGCAAGAATCAATCACTCATTATTTCTCACTACTTTGAATGATTTGCTCATTTTCTGCAGTCGCACATCCATTGTTTTTTTTCTACTACAGGAATGCGAGGGTGTTGCTTCAATAGTCTTGCCATTCCCTCTCCCGCTTCCTTCCTTCGGCGACAAAAAGTTTCAAATTTCTTTGATTTCTTTATCACTTGACACCCTGACGCCCTTTAGCATGAAAATATCAATGTTGGGTACTGTGTTATATTCTCTCTGTCACTTAAAGAACAAAATAAAACTGCCCTTTATGATTTTACTCTGATAAACCTCTTCTAAATTATCAAAATATTGTTGATTTAATTGCGGAAATCTTTCTATAATCTCTTTGTTTCTCTTCATCCTTGAAATGCTTTGACCAAAAGTTAATAAATATTAGAAGGAAAAAAGTCCACTTTGAGCTCAAAGTACATTTTCTTGACACTTCGGGGCTCAAAATTCAAAATATGACTTTGCCAAAGACGTGCATAGCTCTTCATATCTTTGTTTGTTTTGCGAAAGACGTGCATTGCTCTTCATATCTTTGTTTGTTTTGTATAATAAATATGCTTATTCCCTCGGAAGAAGACATGCTTTTCAACGTTCATAATGACAACAAAATGGTGTTGAAATCTCATGCCTTGTGACTGAATGTTCTTTAGTCAGTCAATTAAAAATTCCACGTACATGTAACTGTCCACTAAGTTAATAATTACGATGAATGTAAGTTTCTTTTGAATTAAAATAACCTTCATCTGAGAGAGTCCAGTAAGTAGACAGTACTTACTTAATACAATGGATGAGAAAAAGTTCTTTGAGAGTACATTATGAACACAATAGCGTATATGTTTTAAGTAGGTTATAGGCCTCAAGCTTTCCATTCTGTGAGAAGACAGAATTACGGTCCTCCAACACTTCTTTCTTCACAGAGAATAGACAGTCTTTGGCCTATAACCTTTACTTAAAAAAAATATCATACATACCAGATACTAAGTCGTTACCGCTATTATGAAAATAATTGTCGTACATTCGAGATAATCAGTCATACAGTGTATTAACGACATATCTGCATGCATTTTAAAAGATAAAACGAGATAGCTCAAACGACTCACAATAAGTCGTACGACTATTGACAAAGTTATTGAAAGTCAAAATAGTATCAGATATTTTGGATCGCCATGTACATGTATGACATACTAGTTAGTTATAGCTTTTCGATTCAGATAAAAGAGGGATAAGGGTGGGATAACATGGGACAAATATTTATATAATTCTTGCATTATATATACATACAATTCATGTATTTAGGAATTTTTTTTATATAATTCATGTTTATGTATTCAGGAAAGTTTTTTTTTCAAATAACTTTATCTAGCAAGGCCATGCAGAAGCAATTCGAATTTCTTTAATTAATTAAGCTTTACTATGTCCTGAACCAATTGACCTAGGGCACGGTTTTGATAGCAGCAAAACATTTTTAGAATAAAGAGGGAAAGGAAATTCTGAAAAAAAGTAAATAATTTTCTTCTCAATTCGATGGTGTAATCTATGTTTAATTTTCAGTCTTTAAAAAAAGATAGAAATATTAACTAAAGTCGAGTCAAAAAAAAACATTTTTTAATAAAAAGTGAAGAAATGGGTTATTTTCAAAATCATTCCAAAATCATTTCTAAAGGAATGAATTTAATATTTAAAGAGGCTTGAGTTTCTAAATGATACGTAATGTAGAGAAATCAGGTCTATTAACAGGTCGTTTTAATTCTCGCAGTATTACATTTTAGTTGCACCCAGTTATTAGGTAGCCTATATCTTTTTATTTAATTCATATAAGACAGATTTATTTTACAAATGCAATATGGATAGAAGAAAATATTTACTGTGACAATTTACGTGGCCATTTCAATATATTGACGATAATTTTCAATTAACAACAGTAACTCCCTTTCACTAGTCAGTATGATACATGTATATCCCGGTGATCTTGAAATAAAAGACATCATATTGTTTGACACACGTCATATATTTTATATTTGGATATTTGAAAGACATCAAGAGTAACCTAACAACAAAGCTTTATACCAAGCGTAATGATTTTAACTATCAAGTGAAATACTATAATTTAAAGATGTAGTTAAAATACTATACCATTATTGCTGGTTTTTAGTCAGTCAATTACAAAATTTAGCCATCGTACATGTAACTGTCCGACTGAAAGTTAATAATTACAATGAATGTAAAGTTTCTTTTGAATTAAAATAATTGTTTTATTATATGATTCACTGATAAAATGATACAGCTCATTACTAATACATTTTATACGTCCTAGCCAAATTCAAGAGAGTAGCAGAATTAAAATGTTAATAAACCTTACCAGTCGTATCAATTTTAAATTTTTTTTAAAAAATCAATTTTAGTTGCCATGAAAGAAATATAAAATGTCAGACATTTTATAGGATAGATTTTTAAAGGAAGGAGTACATGTATTATCAGGGAAAACTAACAGCCAAAAAGAAAAAAAAAATTGTTGTTCAGTAAAAGTGGGGGGGGGGGGTTACCGCTATTCACCTAAAATATATATTCGCTTATGTTTTGTTCACATGAAAATAAAAATCATAGTCGTTTAAACAGCTTTTTAAAACAATTTGTATCAATTTGGAATTTCCATTCTATTTTTAGATCAATGTAGAGGAAATAAATCCTTGTATTGACCTGGAACGTCACGTGCAGGTCAATACAACATAATATTTTTCTAACATAGTTGGATCTCAGCCAATCAGAGAGATGGAAATTATTCAATCATATAATAAAAGTTGTTATTAGCACTGCGAACATTTTTTCCCCATGTAGACAATTAGTCCATGATTATAAGGTATTAATTCTCGTTATATTTTCTTTTCTTCATAAAAATAGTTATAGAGCACTCGGGATATATACTTCTCATTTGTGCAGCAATGTGCCCTTAACATCTGCATATATGTAGTTAATATCTCTAAGTTAATTCGATACCCAAGTGCATGCCTACTTTTGAACAATTCATTAACGAGGTAAGTTTTTTGACGAACAAGTTGATGAAACAAGGATTTCAATAATCTTGTTTAGAGTCATCATGAAGGAAATTTGCTAGTCTATGCAATGATATTTTCAGCAAACACAACATTTCATTTATTAAATTCAGATTGGCATTTCTATACTTATAGTTTGGCTATCATTTGCACACTAAATTTTCTACAGATCTTTCCGACCGTGACAACGACCATACTTTGGATGTAACCGGTAAGCAGGCGATTGTCATTCCCCAGGCTACCTGATCTTCCTCATGTTTTTCTTGCGTAGTTTGTTTTTAAAGTTCGTATTGCTCTGCTCCTAAATTTTTTGTATAAATTGACTGTGAGACTGAATGCCTTTTTGCTATCTCATTATCTCACGAAAAATGAAATAACCTTTTTTTCTGTATTAAGTATATATTTTTACATAATACTTTTAGATTTCGTCATTGTTTCAACTAATAAATATGTTGGAATGATGTCTGAACCTCATGCTTCTATTTAATTTCCCTCACACTTTCTCGCCTATAAATCAGTTAGTTTGACCGGTCGTCTGAGGATGCTCACTCCTACTCGGCACCTGATCCCACCTCTTTTATTTCTGAGGGGTCCGAGTTCACGTCCTCTTTACAGAATTCTATTTACTTGTCAATACAACGTAATCTTTCTTCTCATTTGTTCCATTATTAAACGAGACTTTTTTTTTCCAAATCCTCTCTTTGACAATGAAGCATGCTTCAAATAAGGAATCCAAAGATGAATGTTTGACGAGGTTCTAACTTCTTATTTGCTTTGTTGTGAATGGATTTTAAATGGAGTTTTGAAATGTATTTGACAAAAACCATTTACATGGAATATATGAAGATAACGAAGAGTATTCAAGCTAAAAGTTGTAAAACAAAACACATTTTAAGCAGAGCAAACACGGACCTCCAACGCACCAAAGGTGGGATCAGGTACAATGGAGGAGTGAGCATCCCCTGCTGACCGGTCACACCCGTCGTGTGCTCCTTATCATGATCGGGAAATAACAGGAAAATCCGGCGTCAATATAGTGTATAAATAATGGACTATATATTTTATATCAGCATTGGACTTATTTAATGATAAACTGTGTTTGCTGACAAGCTCATTGTATCGACCATAGAACTTACGAAACGATGACTTTAAACGAGGCTACTGATAGTCTTAGTTTCATCAGTATAAATGTGAAAGTTTCCAAATATATCATTATAAACGGTGTTTTGATGAAAAAAGTTTAACGTTCTTCTTTTCTTCTTTCATTCATACAGTAAAAACTTGTACAACCAGTTCCATTGTTTGATTATCAAAAGAATCCAAATTGACAATATGAAAAAATAAAAATATGGTTTAACAGGATTGCACAGTCTCTGAGAAACAAAATATATATTTAAAATTTTCAACTTTCATCCATTGTGATTTTCTGGAAAAATAAATGATCACTCTCTGATATATACTCTCTCGATTAATGATGGCGTCTCCATATGAGTGAAAAATTCTCGAGAGGGACTTTAATCAATCAAACAATAATAGTGAACATGTTAAGATTTTTTCTGGAAATGCATGGAAAAACACATGCATGAAAGAAACATTGAAAAAAAAACAAGTCCATAGTAAACTCCAAAATAGTCTTTGTAATGATAGCACTTTTTTTGAATGAAAATCATTACTTTTTGTACATGGAATATAAAATGAATTATTCAATACTTTTGCAAACTGCACTGAAATTAGAAAAAGTTTACATGAATAGTCTTTGTAATATAGCACTTTTTTCAATGAAAATCATTACTTTTTGTACATGGAAGATAAGATAAATTATTCAATACTTTTGCAATCTGCACTGAAATTAGAAAAGTTTACATGAATAGTCTTTGTAATATAGCACTTTTTTCAATGACAATCATTACTTCTTGTACATGGAAAATAAGATGAATTATTCAATACTTCTGCAATCTGCGCTGAAATTAGAAAAGGTTACATGAATAAATTTCCTTTATGCATCAAAACGTTTAATCTTATAGTTTCTGGCCGTTAAGAGTTTGTTTACCAAAAGAAACCCCTCTGACACAATCCCGGATATGTAATACACAGAGGAAATTTGGGGGTCGTTGTTGTTTTTGTTGTAACAGTTGTTGTTGTTGGGGTAGATTTTGTTGATAGCGTTGTCGAAGTTGTTTCATGCTTTGTGCCGTTTGACGTCTGTTCAAATAAAATAATCATCAGATTTTATTGAAATTTTTAACTTTTGTACTGAAAACTTTGCCCAATACATGAAAACTTGTGCAATACATAAAAATCAAGGTTTGTTAAATGACATATTCTAAACAAATATCACTCCATTTGAATTGTTAATTGAATCTATCCGATTTTAGATTGCAATATGTAAAACACTGTAACAAGATATTTAAAGAATTCAAGACTGTGTTTGTTTCAGAAGTCTATAATACACTTTCATTTACAATATTTGCCTGGACTTCAATTGAAATACAGGGAATGACTTTAAGTAATAAAAGTTTTGATTTTGTGAGCTTTTAATTTTTTTACTCCTGCAAAATTGCTCCTCCATTTTTTTTTTATTTAAAAGACGATAAAAACGGGAACATATGTCACATTTTAAAATCTTTTATAACATTTTGATTGATACTTGTCAGCATCATTATTTACAATAAAAAAAATAAAGGAGGGAAACTGATACCCTTTTGTAAAAAATGCACAATTTGAAAAAAAAATGCTGTAACGTACGATTCGGTTTAAAAATCGTGCAAGGGGGCATGTTTTAATATAACAATAACATTTTGATAAATTAGCACGATTATTTACAACAAACAAGTATGAAAGAAGGAAACTTATACCTTTGTGTAATGAATGCACACAGTGCTCTGGTCCGGATTCCCACAGCTCGAGTTATCGTCCATTCTATACAGGGTACAATTGACCATGTTGGAGTTCTTACAGACACTAAAGTCTATGCAGTTGGGTTCTGCTGCACACATAAAACAACATTTCATCAAAGACGTGTCCTTATTCGTCGTCAAATGAAATTCTTGACCATTATTAAGGTAACAGGAATACCCTTCAACAACTGCAAAAGGGATGATTACTACCAACAGGCATAGAAATACTTGTCTCAAGATGGCCACGGTCATATTTTTTCTGCTTTGCTAAAACGCTCAAGTATTCAGAGACAAGGAGGAATGGTATTTCTCAGAGATGTTCTAAGCTGGGATTAATATACCTATGAGCTTCTTTTATACACAATTTTTATGCAATGCAGGGGACTGCTTTGGAATATCTTAGGAGTCATTTGTCTGGTAAACAGTTTTTCGAGTCAATATCATTCTTTTAATCCGTGTTTGCTTAAAATGTTTTCAACGAAAATACCCGGAGATCTTTTGGTTCACTTGGTCCATTTTGACTCACTAAGAGAATCCCTTTTTGCATAATTGAATAATTGTAGGATTGACTACATGAATTATTATTTTATTATTCGACAAAATATTCTTAAAATGAAAAAAAGATACTGTATTTAATATAGATGTGTTCATTAGAAAATCTGCGTGTCATTAATATATTATTTTATATTCATTTCTAGATGAGGAAAATTACTGTATACAAGTTCAGTTTCGCCCCGTGATATTTTCGCCCTTTCACACTTGCAAACGATTTGCCCCGTTTTAAATTCGCCAAGTCACAGTATTGTTCAAGAAATTATGCCGTGTTCTTTGAATACGCCCTGTTTTAAATTCGCCCACTTGTGCCTTGGGCGAAAATAAAACGGGCTCGAAAATCTCCCTGTATACAGCGTTTCAATGAAGAGAATCCTTTTAATTTAATTAAGGTGAAAAAAACGTTCTATTCTAATTTACATGAACAAATTTACTTGATTAAAAGGGTAGAAAGATAAGATAAGATAAGATTTTTCTGAATTCTTATTTAACGTTGAAATCCCTTTTATATCAAGTAAAGTGTGAATTGTCTGCCTCGGTTTACATGTAAAACTGGTCGTATTTGAAGCATGCTCTTAAGTAGCAATTACCGGTAAGAAATAAGCTAACCTTACATTGATATCGTAATATTTTTATGACTTAATGACTTAATATACTGTAGAAGTACTTTTTTCCGCGTGGTAGTAATTCACGCTTTGCACGCGGTCACACATTTTCCGCGGAAATTTGTCCAAGCGTACTTAATATGAATGTAAGGCATATAGTGACAGTCTAAGAAATCCGCGTAATTTTCTACCCGTGGATTAAACAGAAATTGAGATTCCGCGGAATTATGACCCCGTGAAAAAAAGTACGTCTACAGTATATTAACAGAGCTATTCGATATTTTATTGGGGTTCACCGTTTTGCTCCTACATTGGGGGTTTATGGAGACACTGGATGGATTCCAGGTCAATATAGACGTTGGATAAATGTAATCAGATATTGGAATAGAGTTTTATCCTTTGACAATGATCGAATTACAAGAATTGTATTTGAAGTTGATTACAATAAGTGTAGGAATAACTGGTGCAGTGATTTGAAAGATATATTACACCATCTAGAGCTGGATTACTATTTCGAGTCAAAGCTTATACATGTAGTAGATATAAATATGGTCCAATCAAAAATACACAATTATTACTCAAACCTTTGGAGCAATGAAATTTTAAGCATTCCCAAACTGCGGACATATGTTAATTTTAAAACAACGTTTGGTAGGGAAAATTATGTAGTACGTGATATGCCTAAATATTTACGTTCAATTTTAGCACAATTTAGATGTGGCATTTTACCTTTACGAATAGAAACTGGTAGATATCATGGTGAATCTGTTGAGGATCGAATTTGCACACTTTGCTTTAGAAATAATGTAGAAGACGAAATTCATTTTTTTACTGCATTGTCCTTTATACTCTAAATATTGATCAGAACTTTTTGAAAACACCGGCATTAATCAAATGTGGTGGTCAGATATGGATTAACTATGTGTACTTATTTGAAATTATCCTAGACAGGTTGCAAAGTACTTGTATTTTTTTTATTTATGCGAAGACATGTCCTTTATGTTCAGAAAATAATAATGTACTTCAATGTCATTTTCATCAACGAATAATCCTTATAACAGACACTTATAATCTTACCATACAAAATGTATAAATATATATTTATCACAAAATAGATCAAAAGATAAAAAAAAACATACGCAGAAGGAAATTTAATTATCAAAGACTTTTGTATCTTAGTTAAGTAATCATTACATCATTTGATTAGTAAAGACTTATTTCCTAATTGTGTTCGGTTTCTACTTTCTTGGAAATCAATTTTCAACCTTCCACCTGAGCTATTGCTAATTGGTGATGATTTCGTTTTAGGCGGGTCTAATTTTGGAAAAAAGTCATTATCACCGGAAGGAACTAGGACGAGTGAGTCGTTTTTGTTCTCGTAAACATCAGTTATCCAAACATTTTCTTTTCAATTTTATACTTAAACTATGATGCTCTTTCACCATTCAGAATTGTACTTCACCAGTCTAATTGGTCTCATTATTTATCCTTTTCTTTGTTTCTGCTCAAAGCCTTAAGCTTTCTACGACATTAACATTTACCTTGAAAATGATATTTCTTTAGCAACGCAACCAAAATGGTAATCATGTATGTTACAAACTTCCTATTCTTGAGTCAAAATAAAGTTATTAAACATTCCAAAATACTCGGAACCAACAAAATGGATTTTTAAGATATATATATGTTTATTCTGAATTACATACAAAAAATATCGAGGCAAAACTTCTGCTGACGTCCTCTGTTAATACCTTACCTGGGTGTCAGGAGCTCCCTGTATCGGTATCATTTTTTTTTTCAATATCTAATTATCAAAATTATATATAATAGAAAAAGAAAGAAAAAACATGATTATATATCATTTCTGACATTTCATTTTCATATATAAGAATCAATATCTAATTGCAATACAATTGCAGTTATTTCTCTATCATTGTAGGTTTTATTTTTATTTTTTTAATAAAAACCTTAAGAATTTGAAAGCTATTCAATGAAAACCTTAAGAATTTGAAAGCTATTCTTGTTGGATGTCAAGCAAGATGTATAATATTGACAAGGTCTTGTCTATTAACACTGGTTATAATTTCCATTCTGATGTCGACATGATATATCTCGGTATACGTAAACAAAAACATTTTAGGGAGTCTGACACAGTTATATTATACTTGGATATTTTACTTGAAAAAGATGAAATGGTAATCTAACAATTATCAAATCTTTGTGGTAAACGTAACGACTTAACTTTTCAATAGTCAGCTTCCCTTACATAAGCAGCATTTTTTTCCATTACCTGTAAAGGGTTTTATACCTCTCAGTTGAGTTTCTAAATTGAGAAAAGTAACCTACAGACAGGTTGATGTAACAAGATTACCAGCAGTCTCGTTTAAAGTCATCATTCCGTAAGTTTTATGGTCGATACTATGACCTTGTAGGCAATTGAAACATATGGAGATAACAAACAATATTCCAGATCAAAGGTCCATAAATGAATACGTACAATATAGAAGCAGAGCAATCACGGACCTCTGAAACATCAAAGTTGGGATCGGGTGTCATGGAGTAGTGAGGATCCCCTGCCGACCGGTCACACCCGCCGTGTGCTCCTTGTCATGTTCGGGAAATAACGGAAAAAAGAACTATATGCGGTATATTGCATATGTTTGCCCCCACAAAAGTCAAATTTTGAAAACTTCCTGAAATGTGCTGAATTCAATAAATTGTACGAGAAATATAAGTTAACAGAAAATATTATAGTTCCAGAGCAGTGTATTCACAATTTCTGTTTTTATGACGTCACAAACTAGTCCGATTTTATATCCTTTTCCAGAAAGAGGACAAAATGGACAAAATTTCAACAATTTAAGCTTTAAAATTTATAGAGCGCATGTGTGTTCAGGAACAATATTGACATATTTCATTGATATTATCATTCTACACATTATATCAAAATATTTATCCTGAACACACATGCGCTCGGTGACTTTTATTCAAAATATCGACGAAATATGTACATTTTTCTGCAAAATTCATAAAAAAACTGAAATTACGTCATATTTGTGACGTCATTACGTACATATGACGTCATTACTTATGAAATTATTCTGTGCTTTGAAGTCAGCATATACTCCCCTGTTTAAGGACTTAATTAAATATTACTCCATCAAAGTTTGATTTTGGGGGGCAAATGTTGGTTAATACCGCATATAGTTCTTTGTCGTCAATTCAGTGTATAAATAGTGGACTAACAATAAGTATGAAAAACGTCAGCCAGCAACCCACTGTAGATCTGTGTTGCATTAAAATAATTCTCGTTTCCCTTCAAATTAATCGTGCCTAACGCACCCCCCCCCTTATTTTATATCTTTCCAAGTTATATTGCTTTGGGTCTCTATGTCTATTATTAATATCCAGTTATATTTCTGAGTCAGCAAGAAAGAACTAACTGGACTAATGTAGGAAAATTATGTAGAAAAAACGGTTTATCTATGGTAGATTTACCCCCACCCCCTTTTTATTTATTTGTTTATTTATTTGAATTTCATTTCTTTTTTATTTAATTTTTAGGTAATTTGAAAAAAAAATATTGTAAAATACTTACTGCAGAGATTACAAAAAAGATGAATGAGCACCTATACTCTTTAACCCCCCCCCCTCCCCTTTCAGCATGATTATGCTGTTCCTGTATTGTTGGCAATAACTTTAAGAGTTTTCACATTCCAAAATTTGTAAACTGCAGAACATGTTTTCTGATATTTTGTAATGTATCTTGCCAGTTCTGAAGGAATGAGGTTATACATGTACCACTTATTTTTGAAACCAAGCTCTTCCAAGGATCATTTAAAATTGATTAAATCTTGTATATACTAATTACCTTTCAAGCCAAGTATATACTAATTACCTTTCAAGCCAAGAAAGACAATAGGGTGCTTTGTATTTACCCCTAAGCATTTGTAAATGTAGATGGACTGCACCAGATATGTAAGACACATATGACTAAAACCTTTATTCTAAATCCCCTCCCAGCTGATG